CCAAAACTACACATCGCACGTGAATGGTGTTTGTATGTGGTAGTAGCCCCAAGTCTCCATTCGTGCACCAGGGGGTTGCGTCTCGATACCTATAAGGGTGCGGGAGATATGAGGCTGAAAGTGGTTGAAAGTGGCTTTCTATTTCAAATGTTATGTTTGAATTTGTTCGAATTTGTTCGAACAAATTCGAACAATATTCGAATTAAATTCGAACATAAAATTCGAATATTGGTTCGATTATAGAACGATTGTAAACGTTCCAGAAACGTTGAAAATAGCTTCGTTTGACTGGACGTGAACAGGAGACGTTCAGAAATAGAATCGGGACCAGGTCTCTAATTAGTCTGGAAACGGGGAACCTAATTCTTGCATCTTGTAAAAACGGGTAAGATTGGCTATAATGTAATTTTCTTAATTTTCACTATCGTTACTTTTTGCCCACAAATAAAAAACCAACGAAGCGGGTCCTTGCAGCTAGTTGGTATATAAACTTGATTTAGTGATGTTGTGTCGCTGTAGACTACCTACTCAGCATCATGCATATTCAAAGCTACGATGTATTGAAATTAATCAGCCAGTCATACAAATTAAAAAATCCAGAGACGAGTTGTGTAACTTCCTCGACTGTTATAAAATTTCATTTAAAAAACAAAGAGGTTACTGAAATGTGGTTTGTGGTAAAAGAAAGATTAACTCAAAAACACTTTTTCCTATTATAAAAAAATAACTCCTCAATAAATTATACATCCGTTTTTATGTTCCTCAAATATACAAGGTGTCCAAGAAAGATCTGTTATAAAATTTCATTTAAATAACAAAGAGGTTACTGAAATGTGGTTTGTGGTAAAAGAAAGATTAACTCAAAAAGTTTTTTTATTACAAGAATCAATACAAANAATAAAAGTTTGTATGGCGCTATCTACTATTAGATTTTATTTTACAAATTATATATTATTAATTGTAATAAAATCGCAAAAGTATTAATTTTGAGGATATTAGATAAGTTTTAGAAAATTATAAATGCTAAAAATAAGTAAAGTGTTTATTAAGTTTAATCTGTTTCGAGATATGATACATTACTTCCTTCTATCTTTAAACAACACTGATACAACATACAAGGATTAAGAATAACAGTGAATAATATAATAGTTTCCAGTTATATTCTGATTGTATGACGTGTAGAGATAATTTGAATTTTAGTTAGTAATGATATCCAAGATCACAAAAAATAGTTTAAAATATACGAAAATATAAAGATAATTTAAATAATAACAATTACCTGTATTTTGTGAATCGTCGACATCATTATCTTGCATTCGAATTTTGTTCAAATTACTCTTTATAAAACAGAAAATTAGGGCGAGAAGACAACAGAATACTCCTTGAAATATCCCATAAAAAATGGAAACAGCATAATTGATGTTTGTTTCTAAGAGTAAAGTCTCTTCTAATTACAAAAATCATAATCTTACAATCTACAATATAAATCAAAGACATACATACCGAGGTATCAAAGGATAAAACAATAATGCCTAATGCAACAGAAAAATTCTGAATCCCGCTATCAATAGCTATTGCAGTGCAGGCTGCTTTGGAGTTTCTACTGACGAAAGCTATGACATATCCAGTTATAATTCCAGTTATGGGAGATAATAAAGAGGTTATAATAACCTTCCACGATACTATACTAAATATATGTTGAGAGGAAATTATCTCCATTGTCACGAAAATTATAATCATTATCATAATTGTTGCACTTCCCCACTATTAATAAAAACAAAAATAGTTTCATAATATAATATAAATGATTAAAATTAACACCTTAACCATTTAGGAGATCATGTTTTATACCTTAGTTACATAAGAAGACAATTTAGGAGCTTTCCATTTTATTATCATACCCAAAATCAAGGGAGGAACAATCATTAATAGTGATAATGCAATATTTTCATAAGGTACTTTTAAGTTCTTAGCTTCTGTATTACTTGCATATATCCAAAGGTTCAAAGGTATCAAGCCTAGGGATGCTACAATAGATATTGTAGTCATAGTCACACTATGACATGGTAAATATTAATTTTATGAATAATATTCTCTGTAGCTAAATATAGTAAACAATTCTTACATACCTGAGAGTAACATCGCCATCCAAATAATATGTAAAGACGTTAGAAACAGCACCTCCGGGGCAACATGATATAATAAGCAAACCAGTCGCTAGACTCGATTCGAATTGAAATATAACGTTATAAATAAATCCAATCAATGGCATTATAACAAATTGGCAAAAGAGACCAATAGCTGGACCAACGGGTTTTCGGATTCCTTTATAAATCTATTAACGTAAAAACTGTAATAGTTACTGTTAATTAAACAAGAAATAAAGAGAAATAAATGATAATACCTGATTCCAAGAGATTTCTGCACCCATAACAATCATTATAGGGGAGATCGGGGCAAGATCGGCATGTTAAGCTTTACTTAAATTTTGTGTAATAAATACTGCTGTAAACTGAAAAAAAAGCTTTGCATATTGTCTATTGGAATGTTACCTTACTATAGAACTGGTTAAAATCAGTTTGGAAATAAAAATAATTAAAATAATTACAACTTTACAAGAAGAGAGAAATTGACGAAGTTGCCCCGGGTATAGGGGCAAGATCGGCAACTTCTCTCTTTTTGTAAAGTTGTAATTATTTTAATTATTTTTATTAAAGTTGCCCCTGGTATAGGGGCAACAGTAATGGGGCAAGATAGGCACGTATATAAAATTATGTTATTAACAATGTATAAGTTGGAATTCACTATTAAAACAAAGAAATACAAATCCAACACCCATTTAATATTATTACAACGAAATGCAAGTTCAAAGACATATATACATGAATAACAAATGCAAACATGTTTTCATTTATCATCTGTTTGATTTTTATCCTTTGCTTCTAATGTGGCTTTATGTTGCCGATCTTACCCCGCTAGTCATGATTTCGAAACATTAAGTACAACCCTGAGAACAGAATGCCAAGCCACGATCTGGCCACGTGAATAAGTTGAAGTTACATCCTTCTAACAGGAAAAGTAACTTTCGTTATCATGGAATTATAACAAAACCTGCCAATTCAATATAAATGGAAAAAAAATATTATATGGAATTGAACGAAAATGAAAATTTGCTTGATAATTCAACTACGCTTGTTGGAGAACAATAAAAACACTACACTCAACAAGCCAGCAATAAAACTCAACTGCCTAACCTATAACCAAAGTCTCCTTTTAATTTGTTTTTTAAAAAAAGCGCTTGACAAACTTGCCCCGCATGCCGAAGTTGCCCCGATCTCCCCTAATTATTAGGGAAACTATCACAATTATATTCTGAGTCATTTTAAGATCTTTGTTGATATAATAAATGGATGTAGCATTAGATGTTGAATTACTTTTCAGAAAATCCAATGTATTGTTTTCCATGTCGTATTCACTACACCAAATTTAAGAAACAGAATTATACATTTGCATGAGTTGTAACTTTCGGTATCTACAATGTCTTTTAAATGTTTATGCTTATCTCTTATTAAATAAGTTCTTGCAAAGATGATGATGATAATGAGGATGCGTGGAATATTAAAAAGTGCACAACACAAATACTGTTTTATTATTGTAATAAATATTTTTCTAGTAAGGTTTTAAAATCTAATTAATGAAGTTATTAGCATTTGTTTTGGCTCTGTGAAACAAAACAATACATTTAGTATAAATTCCTCTATTTTCTTAAAGAAATACAATTATAAACATTTAAGTCAATTAGGCTACACAATTATTAAAATGAATGTTTCATTTTCAGACTTTTCTTTGTAAAAATTATCTACAAATACTTCTTAACAAGGCATTAAATCTTTTAATATGTCAGCTTGATGAATCTTAAGGTAAAGTCACAGTAGGGAGAAATGACGAGCATTGGGGAGGGTGGACGAAAAAATTTCCTTTCTCATAAGTTATAAAGCTATTAAATCCATTTTGAGGAGCACAATTAATTTTTGCTTCTTTCTTCTACCACGGCAGATGCGGCTTTAATATGAGTGCTAACGAAAAATTACATAAGCCTTATTTACAGCATCATCATCTAATAATAGTCAACTCGGCGCAGCCAATTCTTCGCAGATGTTACTTTCATCGAAAAAACGTTTGTTCTGATATTTTCATTCGGTTTCGCTGCAAAGTCTACTCTAACCGCTACTGCAGCATGCAAGAGAAATTTAAAGCGAAACGTTTTATACTATGATCGTCTTTAGACGAGATAAACGGAACACTTGTCCTCTTTTCGGATCGAGTAAAAACTTCTACAAATGTATATCGTAAATGACTTTGATGCCATCTTGTGAAAATCCGTTAAAAACTAGATAATGTAATAAAAATTTCTTGATGTATTTATTTGTCTCCAAGCTTTGTCCTCCCCTGGAAAATTCTACCAACGTCCGTGATCTGTACTATGCTTTAGATTGGCATTATAATTTATATGTATATGTATTTCCTATAAAAATAAATATTTAAAACACAAAAATGTTATGATATTTTAATTTTACGTACCTTTTCCTTCGTACAATATTTTAAAATGTTTCGTAATGACAAAATTTATATATATGCTAGCTACATCATATATTTGACATAGAATTCAATCGTACAGAAAAATTGTATTACTATCATTACGTGATTATTTTTGTTTTGTCATCAAATACAATTGATGTTATTTCGGAATAATTTAATTTTTAATATACGAGGTTAAGAATAAAGCCCTTTTCCCTTTCTCCCTTTTTCTCCCTCTTAATCGAAAATGAATACGTGGAAAAGGTTTTTTATTTGCTTGTGAAAAAACATATGACTAGAAAGTAAAAGCAGAAAACCCTACCATTATAGCAGTTTAGTTCTTTTAAATTAGAATTAATTTTTCGTTTTTGAAATTATTATGAGTCATCATTATTACGTTGCATACCATTAAAATTGGAAGAATGACAAGTTCGGTAACGAAGATACACAATTTACCACTTAAAAAATATCAAAAAAAGAAATTTTCTGATATTCTTTTTTTAAAAATTGTATTCTTTTATACAAAAATTCTGACCACTCGTTCATCAACTATCCCGTAACAAAAAAGTTAATTTTATATTGTTACTAGCTGCAAGGACCCGCTTCGCTGGGTTTTTATTTGTATGTAATATAGTTTTTTATATATATATAAAAGACTGTTTTTCTGAGTAATCTAGAATCTAGCTGCAAGGACCCGCTTCGCCGGGCAAAATTAACGATAGTGAAGATTAAGATACAGTAGAGCGTCGTTTATCCGAATCAATTGGGGACTGGGGTGGTTCGGATAACTTATTTTTCGGATAACGAATCATGTACGAAAAAATATATTAATTTATCCCATGTTGAAATTTCTCTTCGTTGCGTGTCGCTTCGCGTTGAATTTTCGTCGATGTTAAGCCTAACGAAGACTATTGTATCGTTAAAAATTATTTTTTTATTTTGTACAAACAAAATAAATTTATTGAAAAATATAAAAACAATAAAAAATTATACTTCAGATGTTAATTTAGTATCAAAAACGTAAAATATTTGAGTAGCCCGAGAAATAGCCGAAGATTGCAGCGCCACAGCACTAGTGAAAATTTAAATTTGCCGACTGGAATGCTTTCGGATAACGGACGTTTCGCATAACGTCCTTTCGGATAAACGACGCTCTACTGTAATTACATTATAGCTAATCTTACCCGTTTTCAGAGAATGAAAGAATTAGGTCCCCGTTTCCAGACTAATTAGAGATTTTTTACGTTTAGTCAAACAAACTATTTTCAACGTTTCTGGAACGTTTACAATCGTTCTATAATCGAACCAATATTCGAATTTTATCTTCGAATTAAATTCGAACAAATTCGAAAAATTCGAACAAAACATTCGAAATAGAAAGCCACTTTCAACTACTTTTAGCCTCATATCTCCCGCACCCTTATAGCTATCGAGACGCAACCACCCCTATGCACGAATGGAGACTTGGGGCTACCACNATAATCTATATATATATATATATATATATATATAGATTATGCGGTTATTAATTTGTTGCGACACACAACTTATAAGCGAAATGAATTCATTTTCCTCCTTTAACATCGTCGATTCAATTTCATATAAGTAATTTAATACTCAAATTACGTCAACCCAATCTTTCTTCATATAACACAATAAAAACTCTAAATTAAAAATTTAATGTCGTAATGAATTTTCCATTATTAATTAAAAATAAAACATTTAGTTTTGATAATTATTAAATAAATTGATCCAAACTAGCGTATTGTACAGTACCTATACATTATAGAACACATTAATTTTTCCACAGAACAAAACTTTTGTACTTAATTAACATCTCAATGGAAGTTATAAAATCAATAAAAAATTAAGTAACTATTCATGAAAAACATTTATTACGGTAGAATTAATTTTTTTATCACAGCACTTAAGCTAAATACGAGTGTTTACTATATGAAACACGAGTTCATAAAAATTCGCCATCCCTCCAATGGACTGTTTACATAGAATCTACTGTATAAAGAAATTTTACTTTAAAAAATTTTAATATTATTTTAATATAAAGGGCATCATCTGTTTATGTGTATGGAAGTGAAATCTCTAAAACTCCTACTATTTTTATCCTCTCCAGGTGAAATTCTCTTTTGTTGCTCTGTATGTTACAACACACAGTAGAGACTGTTTATTTAAAAAGATAAAATAAAATGAACTAGTTTTCAATTTCTTCAAATGTCTACTCTTCACAATTTTTTAATCTCTAGTTTCTCATAAAAATATTTCGCCATGCTTAACAAGGGAATTTCTATTATATTGCAATACAGTAAATTAGGAGGTACACTTTAAATATAATTTATATA